ACTATTCATAATGCACCATTTAAAGTATCCCATTAATTTATATCGTTTAAATTTTTACAATTTTTGAATAATGCTTGAAATTTTTGCAAAAATCTAATGCATTTTATACCATAAATTTTTTTAAAGGAGAAGCAAAACTAACAAGTTTTTTTTATTTTCGCCTACGTCAACGAAGAGATTTATAATGTTTATGATATCTACCGCAAGATCAGCTATAGATATTATGAAGCAAATCGCCATTAAATTAAGTGTAAAATACTTGAATATACCATCCTTCACTTTCGAAAGTGATAAATAAACCAAAAGTGGTATAATTATGAAGTCAGCAACTGTTGTAAGATAAGAAACGAGTTCCATGGTGTTGTATAAGGCTGCTAAATAAAGAGAATCATGTAATCCTTTAAACAAAAAAGTTGTTGAAATTATTAATTTGACTATATATTGCCTAAACTAAAAATAAAGGAGAATTCGGGACCATTTTAATTGATATTATACGGTTTCGTTACTTTAACAAGTTCCACTCTCTTTGTAAATAAATGATGTAAAGCCATTTTCTGTGAAGGTATTTGGTTGGAGCAAAGAATTGGCAAAATTTTCAAACCAGTAATCAAAACCAATTATTCTACTAAAAGAAGTTCCAAAACTTTTATGATGTCGCAGAACTTTTACTTTTGAATTTATCGAAAGATATATGTACTATTCAATTATTCACAACAATTCAAAACTTACGACATGAAAGACCCTTCTGAGCACATATTGGTCTCTCAGTAGTATTAACTTCACCGTGATGAAGACTACCGTTACTGTTATCGTTGAAAAATAATGCATAAGACATTGATATCAGATAGTATAAATTAGTAATATCAGAAGTTCATTTCATCTCTGTTAAAAATTTGCTAAAAATAATTCATACAGAATTTGAAAAATTTTAAATTTAAGCATGCGAAATTTGCAGCGATAAAATAATATGGAACCCAAACTGACTTCTTAATAACCAAAATCAAACAATTAGAACTAATTTCATTATTATTCGCTTCACTGATATTCCATTTCTTTTCACTTTTTTTGAAACTATTGATTCTGAAATTCCATTTCAATCCACCTAATTTCGTTAATTCAAATATTAAGTAAGTTAAATTACTTTTCAAAACATTAAATAAATGAAATTATATCAAATAAATGAAAAATGGCAAATCTAACCTAGAATTTTTTAATAACTAGTCAATATTTAACAATTATGATTTCAGCTAGTTGTGTGCTTGTAAAAACTTACCCTAGTATATTCAACAGTTACTTTTCTTAATATGTTTCCTGTAATGAATAAAATAACTAAGAATTTCTACAACTAATATATATAAATTAAAGTGAGATGAGCTCTGTGATCTTTTTTATACAATGAGTTCAAAGATTTTTCTCACAGTGACACATCCCGGGTGCATTTCAATGTTAAATGATTTACTAAAATACTGAAATATATGATATTTTTTCCTTTTTATTGAATTATAAAACAATGGAACGGATGCTGTTTAACCGGACAAATGAACTTCCATTAACTGTTTAATAAATAGTATTTAAGAGTAATAAACATACCGCTTCCGGTTAAGAAATCATTATAGTACTAGTCATTTCATTTTACTATATTGTATTCAATGTGGAAAATTCTAGATTAATTTCATAAAGATGAAGTAAGAAAATCAGCAAATGAAGATACCTCAGTAACTATTTCGCGGTAACATGAAACCGAGGGAAACTATAATAGAAGTTTGAAATATTTTTGACGTACAAACCGATCGTTTAACTTTAGTGTAAGGGTAAAAGATTAGTTGAATTATTTGGCAGTAGAGTTCACTTTGAAGTATTACTTAGGATGTCGCGAAACTCAAAATAAATCTTGTGAAGCTCCAAATAGCTTACAGAATATATATTAAATAAAATTGTATTAACCCATAATACTAAAATTTGTCTTAATTGAACATTAGAAAGGTAAAAAAATTGCATCATATAAGCAATTATTTATCCAATACTGATCTTCCCATTGTAGTTGAGCTTATCTGTTCGTCTAGATATTTTCAATTGATAACAAAAGATGTTCAAAAGATGTATGCATTGTTTAACACGTTAAAAACTACTCCTTTATTCCAAATCAAATTTGCTTGCAATATTGTAAAGGTTTTCTAAGCTAATAGTCATTCTTTAAGAAGCTACAATATTAAAACCCATCTCTTACTATAGAAAGAATAAAGATCATCTGATAGTTCCTTATCAATAATCATGAGCTTGTTACAAGTCAGTGCTCACTACATAAGGATTTAAACTTTTTCTTGTCAGTTTTTTGTACTAGCAAATATAATTCGATTGGTCTTTCGCATTCATTTAATTCAGTTCATTTAAATCCATTAAATTCTCCATCAGTTTATTTATCTTCTTCATCTCATATTCACAGGTAAGTGCTATGAACTTATAAGCACATTCTCGGCACAGTATCGTAGTTACTAGAAAATAAAATCGTTACAATATTGCTTTGTTGACGTTTCACTCAACGAATTCGTCTATAGTAGCTACAGTAACAAATAAGGAGAGCTAATTCGACTATAAGTTACAACAGTCAGACGTCCAAAGCTCCACAACACTAGGATAGTTGGACTATGTACTGTAGCAAATTATAACAAGAATTGGGAGATGGAACATCTTCAACCTATTCTCAAACTTTCAATGAGTATGGCATCTCGCTTGTTTAAATGAAGCGTAAACACGCTTTAGGTGAGCAGAATTGGAGTGTAGGATGAATTAAGGAAAATCAAACATTTTGTCGAAATGCTTATGATTCTTTTCTGTGAGAAAGAATCTGAAATTGTCATCAACTTTATTACTAAATTCATCAAATGAATTGGGAAAATGCAAAAGCTTAATTTTCTTGAATATGTAATTTAATGAAGTATGACAGTACTACCTCATATCATGAATTTTCAGTTGATTTTAAATCTAATACCCATGTTATCTTGTTGAATTTCTTCCTTTACTTCATATAACCTATAGAATACGACTAAACAGGCGCACTTCATTTATGCATTACTGAAATACTATAAGATACATTGGATCACTCAGACACTGCATTAGCCTCTTTGACCTTCCAATCATTTTTAAACCCTCTTTGACCTTCCAATAGCGCATTCTACACTCTGCTTCTGATTACTATCATTCTTTCATCGAGCAGATATATCGGATCTCCCAAATGCTACAATGCATTAAATATATGAACGTACGATCTTCTCGTACCTTTTGGTTTTGCAGCTCTACCTGATCTGCAATATGGTTATATCAATTAATCAAATATTTTAAAATATTCGTTGAAATTCCAATAAATTTTCTGTTCCTGTCGCAGTAGAACAGCTATATTTTCTTGTATAACTTATTGAGTTCATCTTTTCGCGAAATTGCTTTTTTTTTTTCATTACTAAGCAAAACTGAAACAAAAGAGTTGCGAAAAGAACGAAAAGAAAACAACAGGAAAAAAAATAACAGAATTGTTGATGCTCTTCACAAAATAAATTACAAATCGACAAAATGTAGGGAATTACCAGCCAGAAAACACTCGGCTAATAGAAGAAACATAAAGAACTGAAGAAAAACACCTCCACAAAATCAAACATATATCAAAGGAAATATGAAAATTAACAAAATAAACAAAGATGGATAAAGACTAATGCGCATATACATATATTCTTGACAGCTGTAAATTATCGCGTAAATGACTCCACGTAGTTCTCTGTGATAGAATTAGAATACTGAAATGTTTTCACCTGTGTAAGCTACAAATTATTGGAACTCATTTGCTCTGAAACTGATCATTACACGAAACTGAAGCAAAAGTAAGACTCTTTGAGTAGATTGTGTATGAAAATAATGATTTATGGTACTGCTAAGAATACAAAACATTCGTTACCTTAATTACTCCTTCAAAGCAAACAAGAAACAATGAGACATTCTCGTATATTTTCAATCATTTAACTTTCGCGGTTCTCTGCTAAACGCTACAAGAAAAAAGTCAAAAAGTGATAACATCTAACATATAAAGTTGCTTTTCAAAAGCAGTAGTTCGTAGTGTTGTGCAGTAAGAAATAAATTTGATTTGGACCGTAATATTATATGCATGATACCATGTCACCAACTCATTGATTTTGAGAGTGAAGCTTCCACCGAATTGGTACCAAAAAAAAAATTAACTACCACCAAGTCAGTGCCATCAAGAAACCATTAGTGATAGAACATTACCTCAGAACAAAGAAGGGACAACGTATCCAACACAGGAAAATTTCCCACAACCATTTCGAAGAAGAAATATAAAGAGAGAAGGGTGAGAATTATAATTGATAAAGCTTTCACACCGCTTCGCATCATCTCCAATTTTCACGATATACTTTTGTGAAAAGCCCGATGCTGTCACATAATAAAACATCACCGGTTAACTCCTATATTCTTTACTGTCGCATCACTTCGTTCATAGTTTAAAAATGAATGAGAATTATTTCTTACAAAATTGATGGCATAAAAAAGTTTGAAAGCTTAGCAGAGACAGCATAACAGCTAATGTTTCGGTTGTGATATATTTATGTGTAATTGTCGAAAATGAGATGAACGGTCATTTTCTGGTGCTACTTTCCATATACTTTGCTAAATATTTACTACTTTTTCCTTTCAGCTTGGTAATTTGACATTGTTTCATCCAGCTAAAGTCACAACGCTGGAATCTATTATATGCATCCATGTCGCATGCACAGATCAGAAATTCAGAGGTCAATGACTAATCAACTTTTAGTGAAATACTAACAGTAAATAAGCAATGAAAATATTGCTTATTCTATCTTTCACAAAAAATTATACGTACGATAAGTTTTCTTGTTTTAATTTCCTTATTTATTTGTGAAAATTCATTTAAATGTAACTTCAACTATTGCCAGAAATCGTTTTTTTTTTTTTTCTAATTCGACTTCATTTCACATTCATAATCCATTTTTCGTGCAAAAGAATAAAAAAGTTGCGTGGCGGTATGGTTCAAGTGCAAGAATTGTAATGAAAACAAGGATAATCGTTCGCATCTGAAATTATATGATATTAAAAGCTTTACTAAAGAAAATGATTCCTTACTGTGAATGGTAGTGATAAAAGATAATCACTGATGAAATAAGTAAATGATTTCTTTATTAATTACCTCATAAAGGTAATAAATCATTAAACTGAGTATGCTCTTTAAATGACTATCAACAAAATCGCTTTCACAACCCACAGATATACAAATAACATATGCACATGCGTTAACTAAAATATAGTTGTATTAGTCGTAATTATCTTGCTTAAAAATACGATAGAGTAGAAATGTTAGCTATAATTTCATGAGCTAGCGATTATGCTTCGAGATATTGATAATAATACTGGTCTAATGCTAATTACTTTTGCTCACTAATTTGAAGAAAGCTGAAAGAACTTCTGACAGAGTTTCCAGTCTCAATAAACAAAAAAAGAAATGTTGTCATAAGTTTTCACTAGTAGCAATTAATTGAAAATGACAACAATATAGAAAAGTGATGGAAACTTACCAAACATAGGCAAAGTGATGAGTTCAACGGAATAACTGTATAAAATGAATGAATATAAGCGCTTCTGTTGTTTTTTTGCAACTCGAATAGAATTAGAGCCAAGCGGTTTATATCTGCTTATTTTAATTGATCCCTACAACAGTTGAAAATGATACCTCATTTAAAATTATTTTTCAATCATAAGTTTCATATGCCGGTAAAAATGTATGCTTAATTGATAGTTAAAATGAAGTTCTTCTTGGCTTGCTTAGAGTAAGCAAGAAAATTATGTCTTCATATGCTTTTCAACGAATCTGTCGCCACAATGGCGAAGCTATAATCTAATGAACAAAGGCCATTGTTTGAAATGATTGTAATCCACTTTGTAACCTTAACACCCATAAAATCCCTCCCAATTTTCTTCCTTACAAAGCCATTCAATATTGTTCTTTGTTTGGTATGGCTCGGTTGCGAGGTGTCTAGCTTGCTTATACTTTATTATTGTAATGTTGTATAATTTTTAATGTCAATCTGTGGTTTAATTACCCAAGTTTGAGGTTTGAATAATAAACTATTTCACGTAGACTCCCACAATATACGTACAACAGAGGGGAACCGGTACAGATTCGAGATTCTACCAGTATCGAGGACAGAGAAGTTAACGATCTGAACCATCAAGAAAAAAAGCTACTTTGTTTCACAAGGAAACAGGGCAGTAAGAAGGAAATTATGAATTTGCTTTTATAGAATCATTGTATTTAATGCGTGATACCTCATTTAAAATTATTCTTCAATCATACGCTTCATATGCCAGTAGAAATGTATGTTTAACTGATAGTTAAAATGAAGTTCTTCTTGGCTTGTTTGAAGTAAGCAAGAAAATCATATCCTTCATATGCTTTTGAAGCGAGTCATTGTATCTAATACTGGAATGACTGATTCTAGCAGAAAATGATTATTTCGATAGAACTTTTCAAAGTTTAGAAAAAATTGTAAAATTTCACTGTAACAATGAGCAGTACGATGAATAATATAATATGAGTCAGCAAATATGGTATGCGATAACAAAATGGTTTTAAAAGTAAAGCTACCGAACCACTCAAAAGAAATATCGAAAAGTGTAGCACAGCATAATAAGTTTTCTGGCTTCTGGAAAACAAATGAAAATGAATGGAAGAAAAAGAAAAGAAATGATTTTTTTTTCTTTTAAATCAAACAGATAAGGTGAGAACTGGAAAAAAATCATGAGGATATTTCTGCAAGATACTGAATACTCGATTTTTTATATCTTGAATTCTATAACCGTGAACTAATGATTTTGAAACAATCCAAATTATTACAACACCGGTTACATATCAAAATCGTCAAGTTTTCGAGCAAAATATGTTGAAGACTAGAGAATTAGAAAAACACTGACCTTTTTAAAAAATTATTTGCATAAAAAACAGGCTTCGCATAAGGTAGGTAAGAAATTATAACTGCATAGAGCATTAAGGCATGAAACCAGATACTTCCAACTCCGTTGCATAGTCGTGCCCATTCTCGAATTTGATATCTAAAAATACAGCGATTTTTTTCCACGTTTTCCAAAATTATGCATTATGCCCGATCTTTATAATACTTGCCGATTCTCTACCGTTTCATTAAGAATTTCCGGTTCCAAACTGTTGCTAATACAGGTAAAGAGTACAAAAATTTGCCGAAAAAGAATGTTTACTTGAACTTATGAAAGTAAAACTTACCGATAGTCTTTTCGTCTTCCTGTGCTAGGAAAGAGATTGGTTACGTTAATTATATCAATTATAAGAGCAGCAATAGCCGATATTGTGCAAACAATCATTAAATTCAATGTGAAATATTTGAAAAATCCATCCTTCACTTTTGCAAGTGTTAAATAAAAAATGAAAGGTATAATGAAGAAGTTACCAACCGTTGCAGTGTATGATATTAAGCGCTTTGCAGTATATAATTCTGCTAAACAAATTTTTGTAAGCAAAACAAAAAGTTTCACTTTTGCTTACTGTTTTATAATATTAGGGCGTAAAGTTGTAGCACAATTTATGAAAGTAAAGATAACCGTGCTAAAAAATGTAAATTTATATATTTTGATGATACATTTTTAAAATTATTTCGTTCTTAAATTTATATGTTTCAAGCAAACTTCTCTGAGAGATTTTTGAACAAGTCTTGAGAAAATTTTTGTACAGATTATAAAATTTTGAGCTCTAGAGCATTCGATCCATGAACAATCGAACTGATTATAGATGAATAATACGATTAGCTCGTAGTTATAAACTTACGGCACAAGAATCCCAAGCCTGCACACACAGACATTTTCGAACTATCAGTGTAGTTACTTCCATTAGAATAATAAATGCCGCTCATTTCAATGAAATTGATCATTTCTTCACGTTGTCAAAGAAATATTCAAGTTCAATACCATCTGATCTTTTATTTATATAAAAATCGTATGGCGGTCACTTTGACGAGTTAACTGGATGGAAGCGACATAAATGTGTCATACAAAATAATTGCAGAAGTTTCGAACAAATCAAAAAATAATTACTGATTCTTCATATTTAGAATCACAATCCAACGAAAAATTCTTTTTTTCATTTCTAGTGTTTGCTAAACATTGAACTGTAAATCAGTACAAAGCTTGGGTTTGATTTAGACAGTAAGTATGCAACTTTATTCTGATATTAGTCGAAAGATGTTAGCTCATCTTACATCTACTATGTTAACAGCACATGAAATGATGTATCTGATACTGATGACAGTTAATTACTGCAATAACAATTATTCAGCAATATCTTAATAAAATACCTTCATGGCACTTCTTTGTTTCGTGCATCATTAGGATTATTTATCGCTCAGTAAGATATCATGAAAGTCATTAAAAAGTTTGTTAAGGTAATTAGCATAATGTTTGAAAAGATCTAGTTGGTGAATGTTGCAAAGTGGATTATGAGGTACAAATTTCGCTATCAATGGTAATTTGATATTTGATTTTTTTTGATGATAATCTTTCTCGATGACATACACTAGAAGTGGGATGAAATTTCTTAACAAATTTAATCATAGATTTTATCATAAACATGGCTACATAATTTGCTGATAAAAATTATTATCGATCAGAATGAGGTGATAAATTTAGATTCAATGTACAGTAATGATAAATGCCAGTATCAAGGCATTGAGATGACAAAAGAAGAATTACTCTGCAGTCTTTTTAATAGTATCACCAATGAAAGTTTGAGACAAGTTTGAACTTCAATATGAAAAACCATTAGGCTGTGGAGTTTTTGTTACTATCAAAACGTAACCGTAGAGTGCGAACATTTAAAATTACCCTTTTTTTTAATATTTTAATAACTTTACTTGTTGTGAAGCTCGAAACAATCTCACGAACCTTCAGATAACTTATAAAATATATCAAATAAAATTGTATTAATCCATAATACTAAAATTTTTCTTAATTGAACATTAGAAATGTAAAACTGTTTCAAATTGCAATACGATATTCAACTGACAACAAAGGATATATGCATTGTTTAACATGTTAAAAACTACTCCTTTGTTCCAAATCAAATTTGCTTGCAATATTGTAAAGGTTTTCTAAGCTAATAGTCATTCTTTGAGAAGCTACAGTATTAAAACCCATTCCTTACTATAGAAAGAATAAAGATCATCTGATAGTTCCTTATCAATAATCATGAGCTTGTTGCAAGCCCACTGTATAAGGATTTAAACTTTTTCTTCATCAGTTTCTCAGTTTTTCTTTACCAGTAAGCCACAATTCACTAAATTCCTCATCAATAATCCATCCATTTTCTTCATTTCATTCTAGAATGTCAGTAAAAATTATATATTGTGTTGCTAGCAAATAAAATCACAAATGTTTCACTCAACGCATTCGTTTATACTAACTGCAATAACAAAACAAGGAAGGCTAAGAAAGTCTAATTTGACTCTAAGGCACAAATTATATTTAGATTGAACCACAAATTTCACGACATTACTGGGTTCCTTGTTTTTCTAGAATTTCTCGCTTAAAAAATCGCAAAACTTCATAACTCGTAGCTTTTTTATTTGTTTAGCTTGTTTCCCTCACAACGCACCTAGGACCGACCATAACGCATAATGTAATAGGAAAAGCCTTAAAGCTGAGGCCCAGTAAGGAAAACGATGCATTCGAGATGTACGATATCACTATTGCAACAGAAAATCACTCGGATGCTCAGAATCAGTGGTTCTAGCTTGGCCCAAACTTTGACCCAAAACCATAAATATGGTACATTTTAATACAAAGATTGGATCAAAAAGAATGTGCAAATAATCTTTTACCAAAAATGAAGGAAAAAGACGCATTATGATATGATATCAATGATATAATATCATTTCAAAACAAAGAGTGGGTCACAAAGCTGACAAAGGGGAATTTCTAGAATCATTTTAAAAAGGAGAACGAATATATAAAGAGAGAATGACGACAAAGCTCTCTCTTGGTATTCTGTGGACAATGTTTGAAGCATTATTGAAATTGTCGCATGATAAAGCGTTCTTCACTGCTTGCATCAGTTAATATTCTAAAATAAATGATTGAAAATCTGGACTGAAAATAATACTGGTGCAAAAGAATTTTGAAGCCTTAATATTTCTCAAAATTAAAAGTAAGAAAAACAGAATATTATTTTAAATATTTCACTTAAGTAATCAAAAATTAAAGCAATGCGATTAAGCACAAAACAACTTATTCACTTACACTTTTTGTTTTTAATGTTGCGATATTGCTATGCACAAACATTGCGATGTTATTGATATTGTCCACATTAATAGCGTTTAGTGGTTGAACTTTTGTGATTGACAACCTTTGCTTTTGAAATATTGAACGGATTGCATGGCGATAAGGTTGAAGAGCGACAATGGTACTTAGACCAATGGCAATTGAACTGGACTGAAATAAAATGGAATTGAAAAACACAATGGAACATAATATCCTCAAAGTATGTTCAGTAATGAATTTTACCTCGTAGAAAATACGAATCATTGCACTCATAACGCTGTAGAATACCGTTCCTTTAATTTGACATTGGCATCGAATAGAAGCGCAAATTACTATTACGAATGAGGCAACTGCAATAATTTTTGGCAAATTATTTTGTATAATAATTTCTCTCAATTTGATTTCAATTTCTGTGTGAAACATTATTGAGTATAATAATTCATATAGTCAGTAGTAAATTATTCAATAATAGGAATAAACTGTAGCAAAGCTCACAAAAACGTGGTAAAACGACAATTTCAGTGGCGTAGCTGTAAATAACAAATGAAAATAAACGTTTCCGTCTTAACTTCCTAAGACAAACAGCGCTTACTCCGGGTGGTTTGTATTTGTAAATTTCAACGGATGCCTGAAGATATAATTATTTAAGAGGCAATTTCTAATTTGAATTAACTGATATTGACAAATATAAATACGCATTAAATTTCTACCTAAAATGTACTGTATTTTAGTGTTTGAATTAGTACTGATAATCTCATCAAAATCAAATACAATCTTAATGTTGCAACTTTTTTGATTTTTTTATCTTCGATAATTTTTAAGATTTAACCATCACAGCAACAGTGAACAAAGCGATGAATAATATAAGATGCGTTAGATGATATGGCATAACAATTGAGAATTGTTCTTTAATAAAACATATGCAACTGTTCCACAAAAATAGCGATATATGAAGAATGACATAATGAAGTTTTTGACTCCTAAAAAGATTGTTTATTATTCGATCAGCAATTAATGTATCTTAATTAGCAGATTATATTTCTTGATAAAAAAGTTAACGGATCATATTTCCTGATTAAATTGATCGCCTTAAAAAGTTGCTACTGCAAAAATTTTTTTCAAAAATTTGAAATTCATGGACTTTGCGATTATATATTTCATTGAAATGATAACGAACTCACTTGTTTACAAAATGTTTCGTATAGAAAATTGGATTAGCATAAGGTAAATAACAAATAACAGCTGCATACAGAGCTAAGGCATGAAACCAAATATTTCCAGATCTGAGGCAGTTCAATGCCCAGTGTCGAATTTGATACCTGTAAATATTGATGCTTGTCTTTTTTCTCTTTTTTTTTTTTGTTTAATATTTTAAAACATTTCACTAATATTTGAATATCTTGTAGAATTTAATTATTTTATTGTGTGCGGAATGAATTTTAGACGCAATAAAAAAAAAACGTTCTTTTCTTTAATTAAACAGTATAATAATTAAGATTTTCGAAGATCAAGCAAAACTAACAAGTTTTTTTTATTTTCGCCTACGTCAGCGAAAAGATTTATGATGTATATTATATCTGCTACAAAATCAGCTAAAGTTGTTACGGAGCAAATTGCCATTAAATTAAGCGTAAAATATTTAAATAAGCCATCCTTTACTTTTGCAATTGATAAATAAACCAAAAATGGTATAATTATAAAATCAGCAATTGTTGTAATGTGTGAAACGAGTTGAATCGCAGTGTATAAGGCTGCTAAAAATCTTAAACAAAAAACAAACATTACTGAAATTTATGGTTATTTTAACTAATATTATGTATGAGTTAATTGTTAATTTTCAAGATACTCTTTTAAAAAAAAAAAAAAAAAAAGAAAAAAATAAGAGTTGGAACAATTTACTGTGAAGATAATTGATCATATCAATATCAATATAAACTCTTTAAAAGATTTTGAATTTTGGCAAAATTTTCAAACCAGTAATCAAAACCAATTATTCTACTAAAAGAAGTTCCAAAACTTTTATGATATCGCAGAACTTTTACTTTTGAATTTATCGAAAGATAAATGTACTATTCAATTATTCAATTCAAAACTTACGACATGAAAGACCCTTCTGAGCGCATATTGGTCTCTCAGTAGTATTAACTTCACCGTGATGAAGACTACCGTTACTGTTATCGTTGAAAAATAATGCATAAGACATTGATATCAGATAGTATAAATTAGTAATATCAGAAGTTCATTTCATCTCTGTTAAAAATTTGCTAAAAATAATTCATACAGCTATGAATTGAGTGTAAATTTAAGTATACAAAATTGGAACAACAAAATAATATGAATGCCCGAAGCCAGGAATATTGGTGTAATATTATTTGATACAAAAAGCAAAAATTTAATTAATATTTGAATTAACAAATAATGTTATGAAATGAAAATAGAATTGAAAATTCCTTGCTGACTGATACTCCAAAATATTTTTTTATTTCCATAAATCAGTTTGTCATTCTTATAACTTTGAGCTAACTAATTATTTAATTATGGAAAAAAAAAGAGAGATAAGTTTTAAAAGAAAACAAAAGATTATTTAGTTTAAACTTTTTTATTGAGAGTTAAATTTATTGAAATAATAAAGAAAAGTTAATTTGTCGTATTAGATAAAGGAAGAATGTATGATGTAAAATTTATGTTTAAATGTAATTAAAAGCTTATATCATTGAACAATGGTAGGAATTATTTATGAAGTTTTGTGCTGCATAAATAAGCTCAGTAAAAATCAAATATTCATCAAAAGCAGCTGAATTTTATTATTTGTATAGTTTAGAAATAAAACCAAAAGATATTGAAAAATAACAAAAAGAAAAAATATGTTTTCATCTAATGAAAAAAAAAAAAAAAAGAGAGAGAATGAATTACTTACTGAAAATATGTGAATTGTTTGAGCTTTTTAATTGAGATCGAAATGTTCATTATGGAATATTGAAAATTTAGTTGTTAGTTTAGTTAGACAATTAAGAAATCAAAGGGAATTTTTCAACATCTAAGGGTTATCATTCTATTGCAAGACTATATTATTAGCTAAAAAATAAACGTAGAAATTTTGGTATTACTTTAAAAAGAAGTAGAAAGTTTATTGTGTCTTTAGATAGTAAATTTGAAAAAAAAAAGAGATTAGTGTAATTTGTTGTTTTTTTATATAATCAAATAACATTTCACAGAAATAAATGCTTGTTGATTTTATTTCTAAAAATTGCATATTGAATAAAAATGATTATCAAAAGGAATCAGTTTTTTTCTTTTTTTTTTTTTTGAATAGAGTACATTTATAGGAATAAAACCTTGTAATATCATTAATAATTATTCAATTAAAATTTATCCATGATAATTAAATTTATCATTGAAATCAACAACTTAATGTTCACTGAGCATTTTCGCAAAATATTTTCATGCGAATCATTGGAATATCAATTAAAATAAGTTATTTCAATTACTATCACAAAATCCTATTTAATTATTATTCATTGCAATTATTAATTACATTAATGAATGAAGCTATTAATTAAATGAAACATTAGTAAATCATATTAAATTTTTGAATATCAAACTATTGCAAATTATAAATTGGAAAACAATTTAAAAATTTTTGACAAATTTATAACAATTATTTTCTTTTTTAAAAATAATCCCACTATCATATTTATTCATTCAATGCAGTACCAATTTTATTGCAAATAAATTAATTTATTGTAGAATGAATCAATGACCAAAATGCTACTTTGCCAATTCTTTTTATTTGCACAATTTCTCATATAGATAAATTAATTTAGTATGAAATTAATTATTATATTACTCTATTATCATATTTTTCATTTCAATCACCATTTTTAAATCTGTTATCAAAAGTTGTTTTATAATAATGTCTGTAAATAAAACATAAAATCATATTTTTAAACGAGAAACTAATTAGATAATTTGGCATAAAATATTTTTCCGCAATAATAATAATAATAACTAATAATAATAATTAATAACAATAATAATAATAACAATTAAGAACAACGATAATACTAATTAAGAACAATTATAATATTGAATAATAACAACATTATTATTAGTAATAATAATAATAATAATAATAATAATAATAATAATAATAATAATAATAATAATAATAATAATAATAATAATAATAATAATAATAATAATAATAATAATAATATAATAATAATAATAATAATAATAATAATAATAATAATAATAATAATAATAATAATAATAATAATAATAATAATAATAATAACAATAAACTCTTACTACTTAGACATTTAGATTTTCATTATACATATATACTTTTCATTAAAAATGAGAAAAGTTCTGGATTGAACTCATTTTCGATGAATATTAAATATTCCATTATATATACATAAGTATATCATTACTATCGATCGTAAGTGATCTCGCTCAATTATCTATGACTTTGATCGAAATGAAAAATAAAACAATTCTTTTAAGAGCCCTAAAACCTGTATTTTCTATTCATATTAGAAAAATTAAAACGTAGAATCTAACTTGTAAAGTTTATTATTAAGAAAAAAAAAATAATAATATTGAAAATACCATTCATTTGTCATTAATGAAGACAAATGGAAAAAAAGACAAATGCATAATTGCAATCATAGAAATTATTAATAAAAACATGTTTTTTTAGCACAAATATAACTGAGTAAATATTGATGAACACTTTGTCTCTATAGTTCTTTACTTTTATTTATCTGCTTATAACTCGTCTTTTCACTATTGAATTATAAAATTATCCTTTTATATATTTCATCCTAAAATAATCTAACTCATTATTTCGGTTCATCTCCTAAGTAATGTTCGATTCTAGATGAAAATTCGTTGTATATTATACTAAAATGCCTTGTTTTCGCTTGCTCACTATAAAACTGTAATTTTCAAACTTTTGAAATTGACATCAAATAAGCAACACAAGCCAATAATTTATTATTGAACAGTATGAAACAAGCAGCCGTATACAATTTTGCGAGAACTATCAATTCAAGAAAAAAAAACAAAACAAATATTTCCAGAAATGGGCGAGAAAGTTAGCAGCTCAAAAAAGATCTCCAGTGAACGATGATTAACAATAATAATTAGACTGAACCAGTGTCGAATCTATCAACAACCTCGTAAAATTTTCTGAGATATCACTGTCATTGGGTGCATTGATATAAAAAGATAAGCCTAGTTGAGTACCTTTTTTTTCACTCACCTGTTCCATCAATACAAATTTATATTACAGATTCTGGAAAAGATGTACACCGGTCTAGAATTGAATGCATTCAAATTGAGAATAAATTTCACATAAACAACAAGACTTCAAATAACAAAATAAGTTAGCCATAAAAAAAAAAACTAAAGAAATGACCGATGAAACCTACTATGAAGAAATAAATACAAAATCTATTGTGAAGAAATAATAAATACAATGAAAAAAGAGAATTTAACAGAAAAGAAAAAAATTACGAAAAATATAGAAGTAAAAAAACCCTGGCCTCTTAATGACCAGAAAAAAAAAGGACCCATTATTTAATTCAAAACAATTCAGGATCAGTCAGTGATAATAACTATTAGTAGTACATAAGATTAATGCCCACAATGAATAAATAACATTCAAATAAAAATATGACACACGAAATAAAAAACCTGGAAAAAAAATATAAATGCTGCATTATAAGTTCCACTTACAAGAAATCACTCATGTGATGAATCAGTGGAAAAACTATCAAATTTGAAAATTCTAACTATGAAAAACAAGTATCAATTTTCAATAATTTAAAAAAAAATTCTTACTGATTGTTCAAATTTTTGAAACAATCAATGTTTCGTCACCTGTCAGAAAACTGTGTCTTCCACTTATTCAATATAATCAATGGTTTATGCCTATTTCGTTAACTGTCACAAACTTTATCTTTCACTAAATCTTCCAAGACAAAATACCAAAATCAAATCCTGCTAATCGGGCATGTATTTTTTTACTATCCATTAAGTCATGAATGTGCATTTTAAAAATGTACGATAGATAATATTTGGAAAGAAAATTTTTGGCATCTAATCATTTTTCATCCATCGGTTCAAAAATATTTCTAAAGACCAAGTCATTTTTTACAATATGAATATAAAATGTACATACAAAAAATTAAAAAATAAATGAAAATATTCAATCATAACAATACCAACACGTACCATATAAACACATGAGAAAGTGCAAACGACAACTGCATGAAGTAATCTCTAGAAGAGAGCAAATATAACCGGTGAAATTTCAATCTTGAAACTTCCCATGCAGAAAATTAACAAATCCTAAATTTCTATTATCGTGGAATTTTATGTTTACGAATCTTACATTCAAGGATCATACATATTTCCATGCCTTATTCGATTTGGAAGAAAGTAATGAAATGGGAATGCAAATTAAAACTTTTTACTAATGAGTGGAAAAAAAAGTTAGCCATATTTCAATACTATTCAGTCTTTTAGACATTATACTCCGCCCTTAATATTTGATATGCTCTTTCAACTAGGAATATCCCTAAAAATTTATTAAACTAGCTCATTATTAACTCAAAAAGATCTGATAATTAAAAGACCGGATAAAAAGGCCTAACGATGAGTTCTTCAATTTTGAAAAGGATGAAAAGTAAAACTCATGGAAAAAAACTAAAAACATATAATATGCCATCACGTCTGAGTATATTTTATTTTTGGAATCATTTTTCGAAATCAGTCCATCAAAAAATTTTAGAAAATCATTTTGACGGCTTCTTGTTAGGACTGACCGATGAAACCAACTGCTGTGATAAATAATTGGAGAGATCATGATGCGATTGAGCTTGAGGAGAAAGGACATCTACTTCTAAGGGTGAATCATTCCGCAAACATTCCCCTACACCGCTCAAGTGGCAAACACAACATGCTTCACGTGTTTTCAGTAAAGCTGTAACTCTTTCCAGTTCACGACGCAGTATTTGATTCTGAGTCTGCAAAAAATTTACTAGATTTTCGGGTTAAAAAAATATTAAATGTTTAATCAAAATACGAAATGCACTAATTAGAAATTTAAACCAGTTAATACTTGATTTGAATCCTACAATAGAAAACAGTATCTTACTTCTTTATCATCTAGATGCCTGTTTTATTCTTATTAGAAACTCATCAGTGTTTTATTCTCATTAGAAATTCATCACTTATGCAGAGTAACAAAAATAAAAATTTTCCAACTACTAATTTTCACCATTTCATATCTTAAAAAAGCTTTCAGCTGTATAATTTAAAAATCTTTTAACAAATTATATTGACATACGGAGAGTGACACTTTTTCCTGTTCCAATAAATGAACACGTGTAATCATTTCATCATGTTCTTCCTTTTTTCGCTTCCGATACCTCACAGCAGCTGCTTTATTCCTTTCCAAAATTGTAACACGACGTTCATCGGGTGGTAAATCTGCAGTAAGAGAACTACGACCACGTCCTCGTCCACCGCGATGTGATGACGCTGTTGAGGTGACTGCTGAACGGGATATAGCACTTTCTCTGCTGTAATTTGTTATACTCGGCACACAAATTACATAAATTATTAAAATAAACTTAATAAGATGCAAAGGAAAAGCTATGTAATTCAAAAAAAGATTGGAAGATAAGCAATCTTTCATTCGAAAATAGTAAATACAAGGACCATTTACATTATTAACTTATGAGTGCGAAATATACGTATGTTAAGTAACAATTTCCCGGCCATTCAGATGAAAATTAATTCAATTAAAGGTTTATGTTCTGCGTTTCTCAGAAATATTGTTTAAGTGAAAACAAACCTTCTTGATGCGGATGACAATACTTCCGTATGTTTACGCTGCTCATCCTGCGGATAAATGACTTCCTCGTGATCAAAATACTGCTGGTTCTGCAAATCAATGGACATGAACAGAGTATCTTTGTTTATGGATGAAAGATCGAATCACCTGCCTAAAAACTGTCAAACTGATAAATGATTAAAAAAAAAAACCATACTTGCTTCTGTCTTCTTTCCTATTAATGTTCTACAAAAACCTACTGCCTGTAATGATGATGGTGCATTTTTCACAGAAATCACTGGTTTTACATCACGAGGATCCCAATGATCTGTTGGCGATAATTGTGTATTTGAAATTTGCGGCACATCACTCCGCTCCTCAACGTTTGCTGCCGGTAATAGCTTAAAAGCTCAATTTCATCCAAAAAATAATTTCGAAATCGATTTTGAGGAAAAATTTTCACACTTAACAAAAGCAGATTAATGAAAATCAAAATAAATAAGCTAGATCTTTTATGTAATACTTCATCTAACTTATAAAGAATATTGAAACTTTGAAAATTCTGATTCGAATCACGACATTCTTAAAACTCTGTTGTTTTATTCATCTCTGTAAAATTTTACCACCTTTTCCAATTTAAATCTTCACTTACAATATTATTTGTAAGATGAAAAAAAAACTTACTGTTCCAACAGCACTTAGAAAAGGAGCTGAGACAACTGGCGCAATACTTGATGGTACAGCTACCGCTGCAGCAGCAGCTGCTGCTGCCGCTGCTGCGCGTACTGACAATCGTTTTTTACTGAAAAAGGAAAAAATGGTAACATAAACAATGTCAATACTGATATCACGCAATCAAGCGAAACGAAACATTTATAAGTTAAATCGCATTTACATACGGCGTTTGTACTGATGCAGAGCTTCCGGGTCTTGAAATATTCGCTGGTGCACTGACAACGGGACTATTTATAGCAGAAATTAACGGTGTTAAAGAAGCGGAAGCTGATTCTGAGGAACATGGCGAACATGAGAGTAAAGTGGATGTACATTCAGGACCAATAACACCTGCAGTACACGATGTTGATGGTGCAACTGCAGACAAATCAGAACAAAGAGCTACAGCAACAGATGATGATGTCGGTATGATTGATCCCAATGGTCCTTTCTGAAAAGCAGATTTTAATACGTTATCTAGAATTCTTCAATTTGAACATTTACTAAAGGACAAATTATAGGCTTCAAAGATTCAGAGATCAATACAGTTATTTTTCCTATTTGTTTTTGAAAGTAAAATATTTCAGGCATTTCAACGAAAAGCAATACTTTTATATGGTCTCCATAGTTTTATGAAAAAAATGTTGCGCATCAAAAATTAATTAATGATCACGATTATTAATGATCACGATTACTACATTCTGAAGCAATGATATGAAATATACCAAAGGCGGAGTAGTAGCGCCAGTTGTACCAAGAAAACCAAGCGATCCCAACCTATCAGAATGCATATCAAGGACGGCATTAAGTACATCAGCAGTTCGAGGTGCCTGCCCAGTGTCTTCACTAGTTCGTGAATTCTGCGTCGACAAACCACCATTATCTTTCATCTAAAACCGAAATATTCGTTATTTAATAATACAACTATATTCTTTCCATTCATTTGCCATTTTATAGCAAAAATACTTTTACCTGTTGCACTAAACGCGACAAGTCAGCACTTTTTAACCCATCACCTTCGAAATCCGCTGAAAGAACGTTGATGTTTGAGAAGATACCCGGAGAATGGGCCAAAGATGATGGCAGTTTCAGCAAGGTTATGCCACCTGTCGTCGGCAATGAAAGCGTCACCGGAACAAGTCCATTCTGTAAAGGAAAAAAAAAGGAATAATTCAGCTGGAATAACAGCTTTATACCGAACTAAATCGTACTACCACTTTCAATAAATAATTTGATGTTACTTTCATGGTCCTCCAACATGCTTTTTCAATCTTCAGTCGAAGAAAATGTATAAGTTGTAAAAATGACAAACCTGCTCAAGAAGTTCTTCACTGCACTGACTGATACGTCGATTTGCTTCACGAAATTTTAATTCAAATGGGTTGACAGTGAGACATTTCTGCATCAGTTCAGCTGTTGATGGAAAATCGGCTACAAAAAGTCGTCGAGATGAAATCGTACAAATCGTCAACAAATTTCTTATATGAATAGTGGGAAAATAATAATACTGATACGTACTATACACAAATAAGTTTGTGAAAACTGACTGCAAACTATAGTAACTGTAAAACTCCACGACTACATATTGACTATGCTTTAAGAATGTGGGACTAAGCAACAACAAACAATAATGGTGATAGGAAAAATGAACGTTTTTTACCAAAAGAGTGCAGTTGGAAGGAATTAATTTTGAAGTAATCACTAAATCCATTTGTATAAACGGAATATTTGTATAATGCATAACTCTTAACAATAAAGGAATTTTATTATTTATCAAAGTATGAAATAACCATTTTAGTAAAGGTGATTACAATAATGAAAGCTGATTTTGGGAAAGGAAGAAACATATAAGCCAATTCCTTCGGTAACATAATATTAACTTAATCAGATGATTATATTTCAATGATAGTGAACTTACGTGGTAATGTGGCTGAATTGGTACCAATGAGTGATGTCAAATTCGGGGTTTCCAATGTAACGACATCCACCGATGAATCATCCCGCTGCACTACACTTTCCATCTTCATGAGCTCAAATGGTAACAGAGTTCTACATCCACAAACAACATTAACAAATCAAAATTTTCAAGGAAAAAAAGGTTATAGATTATTAATTAACTAATTGAATATAAATGATGTCGCATCACTTCGTGCAGCATTTCTTGGATGATAAATCACATTATAAGCTGCTTAAAATATTTCCAAGGTTAGTATTAAGTACAGTAAATGAAATGACCAAAATATTAAAAAACCATCCTAAACCATTTATAAAAGTTTTTATTTTTAATAAAAAATGAAACGGAGTGCAAAAAAGGAAAAAAAAAAAAAACTAACCATTGGTCCATTTGAATAAGTTGTAGTAACATTGCTGGATGTATTTGTCGCTATAGACATACGATCAACAAAACAAATGAGTTTTCTTCTGTAAATTGGTTATTTGATAATCAATAACTGAAAATCCAGGAAGAAATAATTTACTGAAGTAACAATATGTACAATGAAATACCCTAAATCAGTATGAAAATATGCTGAAAAAGTAAGCAATGATAGGAAAGGAAGGTAAGAAAAAACATATTCCTGACTAAAATCTTCCATATGAAGCACTTTTTTTTTAATATGGTAGCAGTTATTCCACCTATTGCTCACTCCGTAGAAAGCTTAATCGTAAATAGCATGAATCATAACTATGAAAGCATCAACATCTTTAGAGAGAAAAAAAAAAAAAAAGAAAAAAGAACTCATATTTGCGTCAGAATTATTTCATATAATCTACTATAGGAAGGTAAAAATACTTTGAATCATCCAAGTAATATAACTTACCAATTCCTTAGTTTGCTTGATTAAAATCCACCAAAATATGTCGCTGAGGAGCAGACATTACACAACTCTCATGTCGCTGTTATATGTCCAAAATCCATGGCAATTTTTCTTTTCGTTTTTTTTGCCTTCGTAACAACAATTGGTTATTACGCAACACTTGCGTTGCTGTTAATGCTCGAGTAAAAATCCATGACACTTTTTTCCTTTTCTTAACGATGATGAAGATTAAATTTACTATTAAGTGAATTAAACGATGGTAGTAATGCATTGTTTTAGAAAATAACAAAGAAAAAAAGTTTTTTATCATCCTGTCAAATTCTGATTTATGGATAACTAAAATTGTTTGCTAAAGCAAATAGCTTTTATTTTGGCACAAGCATAGTCAAATAATTTTTTTTTTTTAATATGAAAATTATTAATGATGACGAAATACAATTCTAATGGATGCTTTTCCAAATGACCAATCGTAAAATTTCCGGTTTAAAATGTCAGTACTCTAATTTATGCTTAGCATAGTCATATAGCATACCAAAATAAAATTAAACTAGAAAGTTTTAAAAAAAAAATGGAAACAATGTATAGAAACTAGTTGCTGAATATCACTAAAAAATCTAATTCAGGTTTACTAGGCTTCATAAAATTGTAAAGAGTAATGTCCAATATTTGTCCTCCTCATTTCTTTTCCTCCTTCCCTCAAAATTACAAAATGGAATCTATTCCGTAAAGTGATTGTACGCCAAACCCAACCCTCCAGTATCCTCAATTTTTCAAGCATTTTTAACGCATCATTTCATTTATACAACGAGTGATTTTCGCTTCATCTCACCCAATGTCGATGGAAACAAATCCGAATATGCCATGTCACACTGCACCAACGGAATCGTATCTATTTTTTATTTAAAAAGCAAACTATCATTAAAATTTTGAAAGCAACTAAGAAAATAGCCAAATATTCCCTTCCCATCTCTCTTATCATTTTTTCAGTCTGTGAAAGAATACGGTACAAAAGCAATACAAGTTTTTTTTTTTTCCTTTTTTTTGAACACCCATGTTTTTACATTTTGACGAATTCAATTTGCATAGTTAAAGCAGTCCTAACAAATCATATTCAAAAGATTGACCTGTTCAGCTCTATTTTCTGATCATATGAACTTGAGGATATGGCAAGAGACTGAGAAACTAAGAAATTATCCAAACTAAAGTATATTTCGCACTGCTACTAAAAACTGTATTTTCTCATCAACAAAAAATTTACAAGCTTATACCATTACTCTCAAAATTTTAATAATTAATGATATATGATGAAAAAATTTTAATAATAAATGATATATGATGACAAATATCACTCCATAAACATTTGCATCAATGGAAGCCTAATTTCTCCTTACTTGTTTTCTAATCAATAGTTATTTTAATATTCTAAACACTACACCATTCCTCACACCGTAAAAAAAAAAAAAAAAAACTCTTTTTTTAGGGAGTAGAAAACAAGCAGCTACCATCAGTAAGATAAAAATTAAATTATAAAATTTCAGAACAAGTTTATCTTTTTCTAACCGATTTAACAACAAAAAAAAACATACATGTATGCAAAAACTACGTACATATGCCCACGGCTATTTCGTTTCTTAATGCTCACCGCCCTACAGCTATTTAGTACATCACTATCGGCGGTCATGATATTCAACTATATCGCATATTTCCTTCTTCAACTATGCAAGAAAAAAAAAGAAATTCTAGAAAAAATATTTTATATTTTCATCATTCCTCCAATCCATTCAGTCAGTTATGCAAAATCAAGAGCAACTGTGTACCAAAACAAATGGTTCAATAATTTCATAGATATTAACAATACTAAAAGCCGAATGAACGGCATAATTTTAAAATTTAAGAAGAACTCAAATTAAAAAGAAATTTATTTCCAATTTTGAAAAGCAACAAAACAATTTAAGTGGTTAGTAATAATATCATCAAATTGCACACTTCTGCTATTATGATTCCGGAACTCGGACATCATCGATTTTCAAGATCATGCGCACTACCTACAAAACATTGCATATATCAAATTAGATTTGTCTGCATTCATAACCAATAACAAAAAATAGGAGAAAAAATAATTAATAAATGTAAATCCTAAAAAGTCAGTTTTTTTTCTAAAAAAAAAGAACATTTCAACAGAATGATTTTAAAAAGAACAAGCGAAATCTAAATAAACACACCTGCGTTGCAAGAGATATTTGTGCTTTTTTCGACAATAATGTCTCCATTACCTTTTGTTTTTCCATATCTGAAAAACGAATATGAATACTTCTTTGTTTGTATAATATAAAACTTTTTTTCTTTTTTAAATTAGTACAAAATAGAAGACTTTCTGTTAATGAAATGCTAAACTTGATAACACCAAGAACAGTGACTTATGAATAAGCGCGCATTTCAATAGCAACAGCAATTTCAGGGACTAAGCTCCTGACTTGAACACTTTATTTTTATTAAATAACTGATTTCAAAAGAACTGCTTTGATCAGTAACTAACCGTTTGTGCCAACAGCAAGACAATCAACGCCCAATTTTGGATTAGACTGCTGGATCTGCTTTGCCTTCAGATCTGTTACTGTACCAATTGAAGAAAGGCCCGAATTTTCAGCCAATGCCATAGGAATACTTTCCAATGCATCCGCAAAAGCGCGAAAAGCATACTGTTCAATACCCTCAATCTAAATATTACATCAATTTCGTAAATAAACTGACAATATCTTAAATTTTGAAAAAATAAAAAAATAAAGAATAAACGGAAAAACATTTATGGCCGATTTGAACAGCAACAAAATTACTTTATCTGCTTCTTCTGCAACAGCAAGTGAACAGGAGATTTCTGCTGCGCCACCACCATAAACAATTCGGTTATCTTTGATCAAATTGCGAACAACGCAAAGAGCATCATGCAAACAACGCTTCGATTCCTCAATCATCAATTTGTTGCCACCTCGAATAAACACCGTTACAGCACGATTATTCGGGCATTCTTCGATACAAAGCATACGATCCTGTAAAAAAATTGTCTCTAGCTAACCATTATTCAACAATTAGAAAGCTTATTATCAACATAAACATTTCAAACACAAAAACACAAAGTAGTGACAAATTGAAGATACCTTTTATTAGTATTTGCTTTTAATTTTACTTTTCATCCAGTTCTATTCTACAGTCGTTAGAAGATTAGGACACTTGCTTATTACCATTAGAGCACAAGCGTTACTGATACTACTGGCAATGCATACATAATGAGTGTAATTCTAATTCCAATTTCAGTGCTTCACAATTACATCGCCAATTCATTATGAATGACAAAATAATATCAAAGAAAATTTACCTTGGCAGTTCCGAATGACATCTCGCGAACTCTTCCAGCTTTTCCCAGTTTTTCAGATTTAAGTTCAGCAAAACGTGGAACAATACGACCATCAGTTGCAATCGCAATTAATTCAATTTCAGGTCCACCAACCCAACGAACTGCTGGAAGATTATGAGCAAGTAGAAGATGATTGGCCTCATCGTCGAAGCCCCACTGACAAATTGCTAAAGTAGCGCCACTATCTTTGACCTGAAGTTCAAACAAAAAGTTGTAGTACTGTCATGATCAACTGAAAAAATCTCGAACAAATTTAAATCAACTGCCTATTATCTGGTAAAAAATATGCTCTTCTTAGTAACAAAGAAGAAAACAAAAAAGAAAAATCAAATTTATCTTCAAAGCATGACCTGTTCGATCATTTTTTCGAAAGTTGCTCGTTCATATTCTCGCAAATTTTGGAAATCTTTAGTTGAAGTAATATCAAGCTTATGTTTTGTTTTTGGTTTTGGTGGTTCAAATGGACAAGTAAGTATTGCAATTTTCACATCAGTTAATTCCTGCAATGATTGATGCCATAATGAAAACATAAAAAATCCATTATTAGCATCAGTGAACAGCTAAAAAATAATATATTTGTGTATACAGTAACCTTTGGCATTTGAGGATGGCTCATCGTCTTATCGATAACAACTCCTTTTACCAGGCATGTATCTTCTAATCGGCCTCCCACTTTCCCTTCAATTTTGATCAGTTCAAAATCGACATCTTTCGTCTCCAAATCTGCTACTGATAATACAGCATCTACAGCGATTTCCGCGAGTCGACGCATGCAACGATTGACGCTGAAACCAAAATACTGTGTTAGTGAGATTTGGATATTCAACAAAAGAAACAAAGGGAAAAGAAAATGACACATCGCACTTGAAATATTTCGTGTACATTACAAAACAAGACAAAATACTTCAAGATTTCTAGCTGTAAGCATAGAAATAAAGAAAACAAAATATGTTTCATTAAGATATTAAATTTACATTTTTGAACCCAAAGCAGTAACAGCTGATTCAATTAGTAGTTCACGATTATGTATGGGAAAAGAATGCGCAACATTTTCTAATGTTGCCAATGCCTTTTTACATGCCAGATCAAATCCATCCGCTATTTTAAT